CGTTCATCGGAGTAAAGAACCTCTCCCCGGGGCATTCATCGGAAAAAGCTTCCCTCCCTGGGACACTCATCGGAACTATCGTCTCTCCCCGGGACATTCATAATAAAAACCCTAAAAAAAAACCTAGAACGGCTGAGATCTTCGCCTCTCCTCGGGGCATTCAAACGGCCCCGACCATGGTCACAAAACAAACAAGAAAAACAGAGGAAAAGAGAAAGGAAACTTACTGCGACGAAATCTACGACGGAGAACGCGACGGCTGTGACGGCGGAGATATCAGACGGCGGCGAGACAGCAGGCAGGAAACTTCAGAGCAAGAAAGCGAAAAGTGAGAAATGAGCAGGGGCTCGCCTACTTATACCCCTGCAGGGACTCGAAGCGTCGCTAGACACTCGAGTACCCTAGGGTAGCCGCCCTAGCAGCCACCCAGCGCGCGACACGTGGCGAAAGCAGACAGACGCGCCCCTTCACCTCTCCTCGCCGATGCCCGTCTTCAAGCCTGGACAATCGACAACGTAGAACACGCGTGCTCGCGCTGAAGGGTCTCCCCCGGGCCAGTCCACTTCCCCGGAACGACGTCTTCAAGTCCTTGCTCCCTTCCTCGGAGCAACGACTTGGGGGGCTCCTGTTCTGGCCTGGGCCCCGGGCTGGCTACGCGGGCCTAGCCCAATAATGTTCCACCAGGCCCTATCCAGTCCGAGTACCGCGTCGGGCACGAGGTCCCCGACGAGCCAGAAAGACCTTCCTGCGAGGAAGGCCTACCCCAACTACGACGGGCTGGAGACTCCCCGCTCAGAGAACTCTACCCTCCGAGGATAAGACATGCCCCCCGCGGGCAGAACCCGCCCTCCTGTCGGGCAGGACAGCGAATCCTTCATACGTTCTCCACGTGCTCCCCTCCGCGGAGACACGTCACCAACCAAATGCCACCCTCAAAAGAGCAGGTCAAACCCACTTTCCGGAGATCAAAGGACAGTTGGACTAGGGCGAAGACCACGTTCTGGTCTTCACTACGCCATGTAAGCCCTAGCAGTCACCTAGGTTGGGCCTGGAAATCCAGCCCAACACAAGTGACTGTTGGCCCAGCGCTGAGGTCTCTCTATAAATACCCTCTTTCACAAGAGGGTCAGGTAATTCACATCTTGCCCTTTCTGTACTTTGCTCTCACTCTGCCCAATTCCTTAGAGTGTCTTGCAGGTACACCCCCCTCTCTCCTCCTCATCATCGGTGATCAGATAGCAGTCCATCAGCGTGTGGCCAGCCCGTGATCCCCTCCTGATCAGGTCAGATCACATATTAATGCATAAAATGTTTCAGAAATATATCATACATGTCAAGTCCCATAATGGCGTGTCAACAATTAAATAAGGATGAAGATAAATTTAGACCATCAAACTTGTGTATATTCTGAATGGATGTCATTCTGGATCTTTCACACAATTTTTTCAAGCTAAATTTATCTTTGTCCTCTTTATTGCAATAAGCATCCATACCTACAAGACGAAAAAAGAAGAAAGCTCAAACATCATGAAACAAGCTATTGAAACATATTTTGAGAAAAAAAACTACAGAGAAAACAAACCCGTAAATGCTCATTGGCTAAGATTTGTTGTTATGGTATTGTTTTGTGGTTTCCATATGAGAGAGACGAGTGACAGAGTTATTAGGGTTTCGTTTTGAAAGATGAGTGAAAGAGTTGTTAGAGTTTTGTTTTGAGAGAGACAGTTGTTATGTACTGAAGCGATAAATAATTTTACTTATATATAAATAAATATCACGTTTTATCATGGTTGGTTATAAAAACTGTGATGATATACATGGTCAATAATACTTTTTATCACGATAAATGGCTAATTGTTGGTGATGGAATTCGAACCATTTCACTTCGTGTACTTTTTACTACAGTTGCTACATTTGACCGTTGTGACATGTCATCCAGTAAATAAAAAAAGTATGTGCCAGGATTAATCTATTACCACAGTTAACATTATGGCCGTCGTAATATTGGTGTTACGAAAGGCTTATTTTGTAGTACTCTCTCTCTCTCTCTCTCTCTCTCTCTCTCTCTCTCTCTATATATATATATATATATATATATATATATATATATATATATATATATATATATATATATATATATATATATATATATATATATATATATATATATATATATATATATATATATATATATATATATATATATATATATAATATATATATATATATATATATATATATATATATATATATATTGTTCTTGCATATATGTTCATCTTCATCTCTTTCAACCCAGCTAAAAAATAAGCCAAAAATCTAGTGATGCTAAAGCTTATGAACCCAAGTTTGTTACCAATTCGTACGGGGTCAAAATGCTTGATGTCAATTTAGGAGATAAATATACAAAAAAGATATCTAGGTTTTATGAATCAAACATCAATGTTGAATCACATGTTGAACCAAATGTTGAAACATCTTTTCCAACATCAGGTAAATTACTGGTTGAACCCCTACCGAACCAATTGTTGATATTCATGCTTTTGACACTCGTCTGAATGATACTTCATTTGAAGTTTGGAGAGATGTAAAACATCATCACGTAGAAACTGAGGTTCGGAATAATAACGGTAAAGATAAACAAATTATCAATACTCATATTGTTGACTCATATTTGAATGATATATTGACTGAAAACCATAAGTCCAATGAACAATTGAGGAATGTGGATCCTCAGAATAAAGAGTCTAAGGTGAAAGGAATGAAGAAGATGATGAGGATGATGACATTCACATTGCCAATATCATGAAGAAGATTATTGAAAGTGTAACCAAGCCTCGAGAGAAAGCTACAGAAAAAGAAGCAGTGAATATTGATGAAGAAATTGAGGTTGATGAAGAACCTGTAATAAAAGTAATAAGGAATATTGCTAAGTGATGATTTTTTGACAAGTGTATCGATAATGTTGCAATAATAAAAGATTGAATCCACAAGGAATATAGTTTATAATTTAATTAATGAGTATTTAGACATTAAAAGATAGTTTTAAATAATAAAATAAAGTTGGTTAATAGTATAAAAGATTGATTAATGAAGTTTAGAATTTATTTTATTGAATGATCATACACCAAAATATAATCTTTCATGGTAAATCAATTTTAGTTCATAATTTAGTTAATGAGTGCACAAATATAAAAAATTCAAAGTTGATTAATAAAATAAATTGTTAACAACATATATTTTTATGGTTAATAAAATAATCAAATTGATTAATGAGACACTTTTATATTTATATTATAAAACATTTTTTTATATTTTTTTAAAAAAAAATTTATTATTAATAATATTTTTTATTTTAAAAAATATTTAATATTCAACGTAGATAAACAATATTTGATTGAAATATTTCATTTCAAATTGTGGTTCAAAATAAGACGAAATGGCATACACATGAATCACACACGGCAAAGGATGCCTAAAATTGACACCCTTGTACGCAAGAACAAGAAAACGTCCTTGCCATAAAACCCAAGATGGATGAACAACAAAATTAATATAATCTTGACTTTACGTCTTTCACATGACAACAATGGGTCTAAAGTATTATAACTCCTTACGTTAAATAACATGGTAAGATTTCAAACATGTTTTTTTTTTCCTAAAACTTCAAGTAATCAAATCACGTTGATGTAAGAATCCGAGAATCATATTAGGAATATGCCATTATTGGTACGTTAGGTAAGTCATAAAGTTGACCGTGAAAATATATTCTAATTTTTATGTTTTTTTAATTTAGTTTATTTTAGCATGAATATGTTGTATCATGTGGACAAGAGGACGATGATCATTAATTAATCTGAAAAATGCCATTAAAAAAATTAAATTGAAAAGTATCTCTACTAATGTTATTTCTCCATTCTTATTATATGTTACTTTGTAAAAAAAATGTATCAAATCGTAGCACTAATGAATCATTAATATATTTTTATTATTTTTTAAATATTTATTATTATGTTTTCTTTCATTTATTTAAATTTATCTTTTTTATGTTATTGATTAAGAATAATTTTATAAAATTTATAATAATTTATGTTTTTAATGCAATAATTATATTTTTTAATATGGGTGAAAATAGTAAAATGATTTATAATAAAAGAATAGAGATAGGATTAATAATGTTACTTCTTCACTCTCCATAAATAGATATAACCATTCCATTTAGACTTATTTTAGGCCGTTGGAGTGGACATATTAGAGAGTGGAGCCTGAAATATTGGTTCGTCCGAAAAAAAATGTATCTTGAATAGACATAGTAGAGGGTAAGACCTACGACCTTGGTTCATCTTGAAAAGAAAAAAAAGAACGGGACAAAACATGTATCTAAAAAATTTAAAAATTATAAATTTATATTAATTGATGTCTGACTCGCAAAACTCGCAACTAAATAACACAAATATTAGATGATACGAGTTTAAAATATTTACCCTAAAAAAAAAGCGACAAAACTTACATGTTGAGCGGTCGGGCCCGTTTAGCACCCGACTCTCCACCCTATCACCCTGCTCTAAAAAATTTAGCCTTTACTTTGAACAGGTGAAGAAAGTTGTTTCGATCAAAACTTAAATTTACATTTAAGATCTATTCAAAGTTGTATAAAATAGATAAACATATCTGTTAATGCATTATTTAAAAATCCATTCGAAACTTCAAAGCAATCTGTAGTTTTCTTAAATATGGATAAGCCTAAACTTTTTTAATAATGCAAAGTACTTCACATTATTATATTTGAAAATAGGGTTGTACATTAGTTCACGATTGGTTCACGTATTCCTTTAACATACCTTCTAAGTTCAACATGGTTGCACTATATATATGACACCACTTTTGAGTCTAATATCAACATCATATTCATTAGTTTCATTGCTTGTGAAATTCAAAAAAACTCATTTACTTATATACTTAAAACTCCTTTAAAGCGAAAGAGAAAAAAAAAACATAAGAAAATGAAACTCTTCAGCATTTCATTTTTGTTCAAGCTTTTGATACTTCAATATCTTTCAATTCAATGCCTTTCTGAAGAATTTGATTTCTTCTATTTTGTTCAGCAGGTAAATCATGAGTTAAATAAGATTATAGTTATGAATATATCTCGGTTACATATAGAAGCATCGATCTTCATTGCAGATTCAAACCTGCGCCCCGAACTCGTTTTCATATTGTATTGTTTGTTAATCATGTAGTGGCCGGGAGCATATTGTGACACCAAACAAAGCTGCTGTTATCCAAAAACCGGAAAGCCAGCGGCAGATTTCGGCATTCATGGACTATGGCCTAACTACAACGATGGATCATGGCCTTCAAACTGTGATCCTGACAGTACTTTTGATAAATCTCAGGTATTCATTTTATTCATTAAATTATATTTCTTTTCAGTATAAACCAGATATCCTCTGCGTACAACTGTAACAACTAATTTCTCGAGCCAGAAAGACTACAATGGGCGCCAAAGCTCGCTCAAGAGAATTTATTAAATGATCTTTAAGATAGTAGTAATTAGTTTATTTCTCTGCTGAAAAACTCATGAATGAGTCATGTTAAATTTTTGTATAGATCTCAGACCTGATGAAGAACATGGAGAAAAACTGGCCATCTTTGAGCTGTCCAAGTAGCAATGGTTTTAGATTCTGGTCACATGAATGGGAGAAACACGGCACATGTGCAGAATCTGAGCTTGATCAACGTGAGTACTTTGAAACAGCTCTCAAATTGAAGGAGAAAGTCAACCTTCTACAGATCCTCAAGAATGCAGGCATTGAACCAAATGATGAGTTTTACAGCATAGAAAACATTTCAGAGGCTATAAAAGAGGCAACAGGGTTTGCGCCAGGATTAGAGTGTAATAGAGATTCAGCACGTAACAGTCAGATTTATCAAATTTACATGTGTGTGGACACTTCTGGCTCAAATTTCATAGAGTGCCCTTTGTTGCCAAGGAGTAGATGTGGAGATCAAGTACAATTCCCTAAGTTTTAAGAGAATTTATTTTGTTAATCAAAACATGGTTTAATTTGTATTTTGATTTTTTTAATCATCATTGTACTTTAAATTCCATCTCTTTCTCTATTGTAAGTTTCCATTTTTTGTATTCCTTCCTTGACTGTTCATTTGTGAATGTCAAGGCAATATGGAGTGCATATGTTGTCAAAATCTCATGACTATAGCTTACTAAGTGGCTTGATGATACTCCTTAGTATATCTTTGAATAAAAGATAATCTTGATTTGAATCTTCATCCGACTTCTAATTCTCTAAATCCATATCAAAATTATCTTGAAAAACTTGATCAATAGGTTATTCATTCTTGTTTATGTTAGTTTCGACCTCCACCTAAATTCAATGTTCACCTATGTTATTGCTTCGGTTTAGGCTAAAGCCTAACACGCTTAGCTCCAAAGCATCTGACATTTGATATCAATCTATTTTATTCACATTTGAATTAATACTTTATACATATTTAGTTTAAATTTGACCAATTTATTTTATCACATTTTAACTTTTGTCTACACATTTTATTTGACAATGAACCCGAATCAATATAACACTTGTCCAATTTTATGTAAAATGATAGAAGTCCTCATGGTATTTCAAATCAACAAAATAACTCATATTTAAGAAATACACCTCTTATACCAAATTTACACAATAACCCAAATTTTCAAAACTCTCATTTTATCCCAAATCCACAAAATAAACGACACTTTGGAAATTACTCGTATCATACACCACCTTACCCATATCAATATCAACAATTTTCATCTCAATCAACTAACCTGAACATGCCTCATGTGGTTCAAATAGTAGTTGTGTGCAATCAAATGATCAAGAACATGAAACGCCATAATTTTGCACTCAAGGTAGTTTGGACAATACTAACCTTTGGTGAGGAAGTTGCATCTGCACCGATTGTGAATACGCCTAAACAAAGGTTCAAACAAAAAGAGGATGAAATTCTCATTCAGTCATGGCTCAATGTTTCAAAGGATTCAATTATTGGAGTTGATAAAAAAGAAGATAGTTTTTGGAAGAGAATAGGTGAAGTTTTTAACAAGTATCGTGACATCAATTACAAAGAGAGGAAGCCGATGGCACTAAAAGGTAGATGGCACAAAAAAAATCTATATGTTTAAAAGTTTGTTGGATGCTACAAATAAGTCGTATCTGCACAAAAAATGGGAGTTCTAAGAACAATATCATGCAAGCTGCATATAAAATTTATTTTCAAGATGAAGGTGAAAAGTTTACATTTGAGGCTGCATAGAGATTATTGAAAGATAAACCTAAATGACTCGTAGGTTCATCGGAAGCTTTGGCAAAAAGAACAAAAAATTCAGATTCAGGAACATATTCTTCATCTTCTAATCCGCTAACACTAACGAGCAATGAATATAATCCACCATCACCTACTTTGTTACGTCATCCAATCAGTTATTCAAAAGCTTGTGGAAATGTCTTCTACTCATAATGTCATATATGATTGTTTGAAAGATGACTTCAAAAAAATTGATTTGATGTCAATGTTTGCACGAGACTATGCACATATTGAGGGTGAAAAAGTTGAGATAGAGAGAAAAAAAGTTAATGCAAATATTAAGAAGGCTCAAAGTGTTGAGGAAAGATTGAAGATGAATGATCTGCAAATACTCTCAAAAGATACATCAAATATGGATACAAGACAACACTAAGCTCATGAAATGTTGTGCGACATGATTAGAGACAAATATGGAATTAATTAGTATGATTATGTATTTTGAAATTAATTAGTATGATTATGTATTTTGAACTTAATTTATATGTACTTAATTAGTATGATTATGTATTTTTGAAATTTGATAATGTATTCAAACTAGCCGTTATTCAAAGTCAAACTAGTCGTTATTCAAATTTAAACTAACCGCTATAAACTAGTCTTATAAATAGTATTAACATGCACACTAAGTTTCATAGTACTTCTTCTCATTCTCTACCTCTTTCATTCTCTACAATTTTTTATCATCTTCTAATCAATATCAAACTTCTTTTACATGGATCCTTCCAACTCTTCCCACAATGCAAAAATGTTCATGGATTATATGAATGATGATATAGATGAACAACTTGTGATGCCGCTTATGGAAGAAGAATCCTCGAGATCTAAAAGGCCTAGACATCAAAGAAGGAATATAGAGAGGAATCGTGAAGAGGGACATGATCGATTATTCAATGATTGTTTTTCAGAAACTCCGGTATACACGAATGAGCAGTTTCGTCGAAGGTATCGAATGTATAAACATGTGTTCCTTCGTATTGTGGAAGCTCTGGGTCAATACGGTGAGTATTTTCGAATGATGGTTGATGCAACTGGTAGGTCAAGTCTTTCACCATTACAAAAATGCATTGTTGTTATCCGTATGTTGGCATATGGAACATCTGCTAATATTGTGGATGACTATTTGAGAATTGATGAAACCGTGACACTATAATGTGTTGATAAGTTTACAAGACGAGTGATTAGCATCTTTGGGGCACAATATTTGCGAAGGCTAGATACTGAAGTGATACGCGGTCGCTCGCGGATCAAAAACAAGTATTTTTAGGAAAATGAAGTACAGCGACAGTGACTCGGAATATCGTCTCACAAGGATTCTTGTAGGAATAATCAAATACAATAACGAAATATGGGGGGTTTTGATTAAGATAAAATAAACGAAAAATAAGTTATTAGAAAAAGTGATTGTAGTAATGAGTTGAAACGGTTAATCTACTGTTTTCGTTTCCCAACTTATCATCGATTCTAATAATTCCCAATTCCTAAGCGAATTCTATCCCCTTTCTGATTATAATAACAATCAACAAGCGCAATTGATATTATAGGATACACGTTCCTAATTTCTGAATTAAGCAAACAGATAAAATAGTAACCGTGAATTAAGCAAACACGAGAAACATACGCGGATTAAGCAACCGCGATTAAAGTATAAGAACATGCAATCATCGAAATAAATCAATCATCTCTAAGATAAATCGAATTAAGCAAACAAAATATCATAGAGAAGAATTGAAAGGAAATAGATTTTATTGGAAATTAAAAGAACCTCAAAGTGTTGGCGGGAACCGATTACAGCAGATTAATTCGAAGGAATTAGTTCCCCGTAATTCATACAAAGCTCCAACAAATATTTTCGTGAATAGTGAATAGGATATTTAAGGCTGTACAGCCAGACCTAAACTAAAAAGAAAAACAATGGATCCAGTTCATAACCCAACTGGGTCGAAAATATAACTCAGGCTCAAAACATGACCCAAAACTAAAACAATTTCCTAATGCTGCAACTTCTACGAATATTCTGGGAAAATATGTTCCGAATCTGACTTTGACTCCAACACGAAAGTCGTAACTCTCTCTCTTAGCTTTCCGGCGATTTTAAGAACGCCTCAAACGGATTCCCGAAACTCCAGTTATGATTGTTTCCGTGCAGCCTGTTAAAGCTGAAAAATAAGTGCGAAAATTAAATTAAACCAAAAATAAAATAAAATATGAAAACATAATAAAATATAATAATAAACAAAATAAAATAAAGAAATGCCTAAGTAAAAATGTAGGAGAATGTGCATAAATATGCACTGATCATGAAGACATTGAACGCCTAATGCAAATGAAGGAGGCACGAGGATTTCTATGTATGTTAGGGAGTATTGATTGTATGCATTGGAGATGGAAAAATTGTTCAGTGGCATTGAATGGGCAGGGAAACCAACTATTATGCTTGAAACAGTGGCTTCACAAGACTTATGGATTTGGCATGCATTCTGTCGTATTCCAAATTTTGACTATCCTTATATTATTTTTTTATAATTATTACTACGAGGATTATTTGTTTTGATAGCATGGGTAGAATAAATTATAATAGCGTTATTAGTTAAATGGGGTTAGATTACTATTTTTTTTTATCTTTTATAACACATTAGTATTAAGTTGTATCATTATTAAATAAGGAATGAATTAATATGGGGATTAATTAGGGTTAAATTAATTCTATTAGTCAAATTATTATTAACTGATATATTGTCTAATTAGAGTCATAATGGGGGTTATTAGAGCTTTAATATTAGTATTAATATTATCATAAAATTAGTATTAAAATTATTATTATAAACTCGTTTTATTTTGCATAAATGCAATGACATAGTTGGTAGTAAAAGAAGTACAAGAAGTTACAAGAAGGAAGGCTATTAGTTCAAACTCCACTTTCCTCACTTTAGTATCTTTTTTTCTCTTTTATTTTTCTAACTTTTCTATTCTTAAAATCACAAAAATTACATTTTTTATTTTTTATTATTAATTTTCGTATTAATTAAATAGACATTTTTTAAATAATTAATTTTTACTTTTTTCATTTTTTACTCAAAAAATATCCATAAAAAAATCATAAAATCCAAATATGTTATTCTTTTGCACAAAATTTTTTAAAAAACCTTTAATTATGGTTGGAAATCATTGATGGTAAAAAAAAATTATCTTATGATTTGATTCACTTTTTAAGTTGTCATTTATTATATTAACTTAATTTACTAATATAAATTAAGACATCACTACACCCTTTTTGCACATTTTTATATTATATTTGTTGTTTTTATTGAAAAAATGTAAAAGGTAAAAAATAGCTAATTTTAATTACAATTGAAGATTCTTAATTATTTTATTATAAATTTTAGTTTTTTTCTCTCTTATATTTTATCTTATTTTTGACAACCTTATTATAATTAAAAACTATAAAGGATAAGGTATTTGATTCTTGACATAAAATTAGAAAATATTTGTCAAAATATTTTGGCAGATGACTTGGTAAGTTATTCTCATCATGTTGTTTCTTTCTCCTTCCTCCTCCCGTTCCCATACTGTTTGTTAATTTTTTTTTCATTCTCCTTCCTTCTTCCCAATCCCAAAATTAACCTAGGGTTTTTGTTTTTGACAAGCATGAAATCTGGTTGTTCGTCCTCCTTGTTAAAATAGGAAAGTGGAGATTCAGATGTTTGTAGTAGGTCACGATGGAAGCCCATATGTCATTGTGGAGACATGGTTGTTCTTCAAAGGACAACTACTGTTAAGAATATGGGAAAACTTTTCTGGGGTTGTCCAAATTATAAGGTATGCAAGGTTTTTTAATTTGTTAATAAGTTTTGTTTAAGTTTCATTTTGTAGGTAACCTCTAAACAATGAAAATTTCAAGGGGGTATGCAAGTTGTGTGTGGTTTCTTTGATTGGTTCTATGAGGATGTAGGTGATGAAAAGGAGCAATTCTGGATGCATAGGCTATGTGTGATAACTAAGGGACTTGCTGAAGCAAAAAAGGATATTGAAAAAGTGACAATGGAGAATGAAGAAATAGGGAAAAAGTTGGTAAAACTTGAAAGTGAAATGAAGAATATCATGAAGTGGAAAAATATTTTGAATTTGATGTTTATGATGATTATCATTGTATTAGTTGTTAGAATTAGTTAGGGTATTAAGGTTTATTTGGAAGTAGTATGTTATGGTTTGTTTATAAAAATTAACTTATCTTTTGTTTGTAAGAATTAGGTTTAAGTTCAGTTAAAGATTCTATCAGCTTTGGATTGTATCAGTTCAACATGAATGTAATAGTTGGATTCTTTTAATTTTACTTTTTGCAGTTCAATATGAATGTATCAGTTTAGTTTTGGATTGTATCAGTTCAACATGAATGTAATAGTAAAAGATTAGCTTGATTTTAACACACAATGATTTATAAGTTCTATTTGGTATGTTCTGTTTTTATGTTAACTTGGTCTGTTATATACCTGTCAAAGGTGTTTTTAACTTGGTCTGCATTGTTAAAGATTATGTTATTTTTACATGAATGCAATATTTGGTCTGTTAAAGATTAGCTTGATTTTAACACACAATGATCTATAAGTGTTTTATATAACACACAATGACCTTTAAATTATATTTGGTATGTTCTGTTTTTATGTTTACTTGGTCTATTATAGACCTGTCAAAGTTGGTTCTACTTTTAACTTGGTCTGCATTTTTAACACAACATTATGACAGGTTCATAAACATTATGACCTATAAGTGGGTTCTGCTTTTAACATAAAGTTCATAACAGGTCCATAAATAGGTTCTGCTTTTAACACAACATTATGACAGGTTCCATTTCATAACAGGTCCACAAACTGATACACATGTTCCACAAATACATAAAGTCATTTCACACATGTTCCAAACAACAGCAGGATACATAAACTTATAAAACACATGTTCCAAACAACAGCAAAAAAACATAAATTAATTATACAGCAAAATACATAAAGGGATTCCACATGACATGATAGCCTAATTACATCTAAAGTTCTTCTTTGGCGTGGTCCTCTTTGTTGGAGTATACCTCCTTGTTATTGGGCCAACAACATTCTTGGTAGCACTCAACCTAGTTGTAGGCCCAAATGGTAAAAAAGGTCTTGTTGGCTTCCTAACAGGAAGCTTTTGTGTCTTGCCTTTAGCAGGTCCATGTGTCTTCTGAGCAGCCTTTCCCTTAGAAGTCTGAGTTTCTTGGCTAGATTGTTGAGTAGAAGTTCCCTTAGAAGTGTGTGTTGTTGTGTTCTGAGAGGGTTGGTGTGGTTGTTGAGTAGGCTGAGTTGTTAGAGTAGGAATATGTTGGGTTAATTGTTGAGCAGTCTGAGTTGGAGTATGAGAAGGTTGGGCTGATTGTTGAGTAGTCTGAGTTATTGTGTCCTTACATGTAGACTTATTGTGTCCTGCTTTCTTACACCTATTACATTTCACCATAAACCTGTTCTTCTCAATTTGCGATCAGAACCATTAATTTCACCTTATTCTAGGTTCCTCCTCTTTTTAGGTCTACTAGGCATCTTCTTGAACTTGGGTGGTTGCACATCTGGATATGGTATCTTAACCCACAAGGTAGATCACATGCTTACAAACTGCCTTGTACCTTGAAACCCTATAATAATCTGGAATGTAAGTATCAATTTCAAAATTCCTACTATTCATAGCAGACAAAGCATGAACACATGGGAGTCCTATGAGTTCCCATCTTTTGCATGAAGATATATGATTTTTCAGGTTCACAACAAATTTGTCATCTTGATTTTCCAAGTGCCTTACTTTAAATATATGTTCATCAGACATCCTAAAGAATTAAACAAATAGAATATATGAGTCACGTGTTTGGATTGTATGTTATAGACATCCTAAAGAATTAATGCATGTTGATATTACATACCTTACTAGCCAGTTGTTGGTGTATGTGCTTGTGACATCAAGTTTCTTTCTAATATTGGGAAATATATCATTCTCATCCAAAGTACCAAATCTCATTCTATTATTTGCCCATCTTTCCGTCATGTATATTCTGATGTCTTCCAACATAGTGATTAGTGGTTTTGCCCTTGCATCAAAAATGACATTGTTAAAGGATTCAGACATGTTGTTGAGAAC